AATATATTCAATCTTTCTTTGTCAATTAAATACTTTAAAATCAAATGAATAAATAAATAAAGCTACATCTTGAAAATGACAAGATTATGAACAGAGTCTCCAAAGTCAACCACTGCTTCTCCTTCCTACCATAACCTTGAAAAGATTCCCTTCCACGTGCTTCCACAGTATAGGCTTCAAGGACATCTATTTCCTAAGCCTGAGCCACAAGAATTGTTTATATACTTGAGCTAGAAAAAATGTGCTAAAAACATGGCTAGATGTACATACACCAAAAAAGTGTATTCTCATTGCCTCACTGGCATGGATAGGCTTTTCATATCATCAACATTTATTCATAAGTGTTTTGGTGGAAAGATATGTACATTAAATTACAGGAACAGTGTTGAAAACATCTCTTCCAGATGCCCACTGACAATAAAAAGAGAGCTTATTTTACACACGCACACACACACACACACACACACACACACACAATCTCTCTGGCCAATGGGAGAATTCTGAGACAGAAAAATGTTTTCCTTCTGTCTGTGGTTCATCTGCCACTACCCCTGAACAGTGCAATCGGAAACAAATTCTCTCAAGTGGCTTTTGCTACCATGTCTGGTGAGACTTCTCCCACAGTGGAATGACCAGCAGGAGTGAGGGCCATAAGTTGAATCTGCAGGTAGGGAAACAGCATCATTATTACAACAGGGCTCACCTTCCGTTTCCCCATCATCCCAGAAAAGTTCACCTTTTGCTTCTTTGTTCTCATCTAGGGCGATGATAAGACCAAGAGGGTTCTGTCGACTGTGGGGAGGAAGATTTATGTAAAAGGCAAAGACTTAGGACTCAGAGAATTTTGCCAAATGAGCTGGGACTGTTTCCATCAAATTTCAAATGGGAAATGTTACCAGTGGCAGATAACTCTGCCCAAAGGCACAAAGGCAAGATCAACAGGCGTATCTTTCTCTAGTTTCAATAACATCACAGGAGGTAGAAAAACCCAAACATTAGCAATAAATATCTACGTAGGAGGCAAGAATTTAAGCACCAGAATCACTGCAATAGCTTCAATAAAAGCTGCTGTTGCCACAATTATTTAGAATACAGACAGTTGGAAGACAAAGAACTCCTAGACAATAATTGGTTCCACCAGATCATTTTAGATGTGTTACCCGCAGGAGAAGCTTCAACTGCTGTGAGGGAGATGTACTTTTCCCTCTCTAAGAACCATTTTTACTCAGAAAGCAACAAAATTACAATAAGATCCATCTATATAGTGGCAACTTTCCGTATTTGATTATTTATCATTAGTTTATTTTATTTTATTTTATTTTTTTTCCTTTTTGTCTTTTTTCGTGACCAGCAACAGATCACAACCCTCAGTGTCGCGC